ACTTGTGATCCTATAACAATAAAGAATACTTTCAACGAAATTTAAAGAATTCTTTAGTTACGCATCACGTGTGTTTATCCGTCAAGAGGTGTATCCGACACACTTGACCCCAAATTTTAGTGATTTGGTACTTTCAACAGTTGAAAAATTTGGTCACTTCCTGACGCCTGAAATTGTCATACCGGATTTAGTATTGTTTCTGAACGACGTCAGTGATGCTTTTTTTGTCTTCTATTTCCTTTGATGAGCTATCGGCTTTTCTCACACACTGTGCCCATGGATTCACGCACGAAAATAGCCACAAACCGGAAATGGACAAGAGACATAGAAAATGACCCGCCAACAAAAGAACATGTGTGGGAATATCTGGTACTGGTATTTGCAGTCTACCAGAAGAAAACTTCAATTAATTTATTGTTTTCATCTTGTAATCGTCTGATTCTTGGTAATTCCAGTCTAGGTTGTTTGTAGATAATTTTTAATCCGGATTCCACAATATTTTTCTGTGCCTTAATCTTGGTCCCATAACTATTCACATGGTATTTTTTTGTGAACTAGAACCTATATCTCTTCCTTTAAAATAGCGAGAGACTTATTAAGAGTTTGTCACAGTGTGCACTGATAAGCACTATCACTATCAGGGTGGATCATCTGTTCTAGGCTCCATAATATTCTGAATCCTACAAAAAATATTTTACATATTGCGATAGGCCTTAATTCTTGTTGTGGGGCTTTTCCATTTTTACATAAGATGGACTCGTCCAAAGTATACTTATACTGACAGAGAAAATACCTGCTGTTGAGATACGTGGAGATATGTTGAGACAGGTTGAGAGATACGGAGACAGACATAGGGTGTTCTCAGAGAGTTATACAAGAGTCCAGAGAGAGAGAGAGAGATGATTACGGCTTTACTTACAGAGACTTGTACATATACTTTCTACTAACCCGTATTTCTGGACTACTAATTCACTTCGTCTATATTCTTACGTTCCTTCACTTATTTTTCTATCTCAATTTCTGGCGTTGTTTATTCATTTGTGCAGGATTCCATTCCCGGAATCCACAACAATTCTGATGTCCAAAAGTTCTACTACTTTCAAAATAAGACAACTTTATTCGTTTTCATATGCAGATTTCATACATTTTTACAAAAAATACACCCTCAAAAAACGATGACTTTGAAATGTTAATATCGTATGAATTGTCCTCAATAGTTTTTGTGGCAACGAAAAGTTTCAGTCATTAAAATTTCGGTTAAAACTATCCAATCCATGAATCATGGAAAGTGTTTACAAACTAAATGGAAAATAATAACGGGTAACTACATAACATGCCACTCCGCGCATTTTATGAATAACGATAAAAAAACGCCATGGTACTGTGTCTACGAGATACCAAGTCATTACGTTGTTAAGGCGTGTTCAAGGGTTGTCCAGTACTGAATTGAATTTGTTGAACATGGCATCGGGAAGTTATGTGAGGCCTGTAATATGTCCCATACATAATTAATGGGATTTAAGTCTGGCGAGCGTGGAGGCCAATGGAGTGTCTTGAAGTCAGTCTGGTTTTCTTGGAACTAGTTTCTTGTGCGCATGAACAATGCGAGATTGCACTGGAAAAATTATGGTCGACATGAAAAAATGATGAGCAGAAAAAGTTTCAAATTGCAAGATAATAGCTGAGCGACAGACTGACCGAATAGCGACTGAAATGACTTAAGGTGGTAAGATCATATTACGCCTACTGATAAACATTGATTCATCTGTCTCTATTTCTGAGATGAGGTATTGTAACTAGTTACACTATTTACATCGTTCGAACCGTTGTTCTCATCTTTATTGTTATATTCACGACGTTTCGACCGTTGCACATTCCAGCCTTCTTCAGGTGATATACGTTGGAATTTCAAACCAAAAACCTTATTTAGTTTATTGGGGTAGATTGTTCTAATTCCACGTGCAATGCCTATTTTTGGATATCTCAGTTTCAATTAATTCTCTTTAGTAACTCAACTCTGCAAGTTTTTTTTTGTTTCTTGTCCTTGGGACACATAGCCCAGTAGATAAAAGCGCTGCTTGAATGATTCAAAAAGTGACTTGACCCAAAGAGTTGTGGGTTCAATACTTGGCTACAGCTGAGGGAATAAAAACATGAAGAGTTGAGTTACTAAAAGGAATCAACTGAAACTGAGATATCCAGAAAAGGCATGGCACGTGGAATTAGAACAATCTACCCTCGTAAGCTAAATAAAGGGTTCGTTTCGAAAATCTAACGTCTGTCACCTGAAGAAGGTGAAGAAAATTCATGCATATGGCAATAAAGATGAGGACAACAGTCTGAAGGATTTAAAGAGTGTAAACATTGATGATTGCTAAACATTTACAGGTTTACAATAGAGTTTGTTTTTTCTCCCAGTTAAATGAAAGTTTCTTTTTTCTAGTGAAATAGCAGAAATTGCTTCCGACATTAAAAAAATAAGAATATTGAACAACCTTGAGCATTGAAATCTCTTTCTGTGCGCCGTCTCCTTTTCAATCGTTGGTTTTTACAACTTCTTTGTATCTCTTAGCAATGTTTATCTCTTTACTATCCATCCCATTCCCTGTTCTGCTCTCCATCTACACAATCTCGTTTGATAAGTTAATCACTGCTTCTCCTTGTCCTTTTTGCCTTTGATATGTCCTGTGATTGTCAAAGTTTTCAAGACTGCTTTTCTAATTATGGGTTCCATGAATTTCGACTATCTGATGGAAACAGAAAAGACGCTTATACATACGATCAGAAAGAGCATTACAATAGACATCATAAAAAATTAGTGATTAGAAAAATGCCATAGAAGGATGAAGGCAGAATTATTATTTGTAATTTTATAAAATAGAAAGGATCCACAAATAAATAAAAAGTTTAATCAAAGTACAAACGATAATCTTCTAGAGAAAATTTTTCATGCAACATCAAATCTCCAGGCCCGAGATAAAATTAGATTCCTTTTTGTTTTCAGTGAGATTAAATTTACGATATTATTATACAGATCATTTATATTTGTTGTTTTCCCGTGTCGTGTGTTAGTTTCGATTATCTGCTGTAAGTTCTTTATCCAGCAACATCTCCAAATCAGGGCTTTTGCCTTTGTTCACCTGACAGTTTTGAAGGTGTAGATACTGATAACCCACAAACTGTCAAACCTTTATTAAGTTTTGTGATACCATAATCTTAACAAAATGTTCTTATCTATCTATCTATCTATCTATCTATCTATCTATCTATCTTTTTTATGCGTTTCACCCCAAGCAAGGCAGGAAGCAACTAGCACGCAAGAGGTTACAGAGAGTTGGAGCTAGAGCAAATAGGAATAATAGAGGAAAGGATGAAGAGAAGGATAGGGGATAGATCAAGGCATCTGGAGACGTCGATTGACATTATATTTGAAGAGTTGTAGATTATAGCTATCAGGGAAACGGGAAAATGGGAGAGAGTTCCACAGGCGAGAGGTGCGAGACATGAAGCTATTGAAGTAGAAGAGACAGCTGCATTTAACAGTTTCGACAATGAAAGAATGAGAGCGAGATGCCAGCCTAGTAGAACGCTTAAATTCATGAAGTCTGGGAGCAGTTACCATGAAAGTATTTGTAAAAAAAGACAGAGGGAGGCGACGGCACATCTGTGCAGACGTGATGCCAGATCAGGGCCAATTACATTGCATATCCGTCTCTGGAGTTAATCAAGAACCTTGAGACAAACAGAAGGGGCTCCAGACCATATATGGCAGCAAGACTCCCTGCAAAGGCGAATGTTTGATTTGTAGATTTGAAAAATTGATTCCGGCGAGAAAAATTTCCTGGTGTGGCACTGGGAGCCAACTTTCCTTGCGGTGGACGAAGCTATTGACTCAATGTATTTGTTCCATCTCAGGTCAGCATTCAATGTGAGACCGAGTAGTCGCAAAGAGGTGCTCTCGAGAAGTTGAGCGTCAGACATTCTAATGGGGCGCAGGGATGGTTAGTTCTTTGTGGTGGGTAATAGAGAGCAGTTTTGTTCCAGACTTTAAAAATTAATGTGCACGCATAATACGCATAATAACATATGTACTCCCTTATATTTACCCGTAAATACAATTTTTACATATAGTTAAATGCACATAATAACAGAAACACTTTTTTTCTTGCTGCTCGTGAACCGTCTTGTATACATTACAAGAACAGAGACACATTTCCACGCCTGGAAGAACAGTAAGAGAATTTTAATGATTTGAGGACACCGGAAGTCTTATAACTAGGATGTTTGTGTTTACCCCCTTTTTTTAAATAGTTCTCAATCCCTTGTACGATGAAAGCAAGATGGCAGTTTAAAAAAAATCAAAAGAAATATAAAAAGCGAAAACTAGAAAAACAAAAGCAAAAACGCTTAAAAAATAAAATACAATTAGCGCTACAAGTTATTTTAAGTTCTTCTCTATTTTCTTTTTATTTTATGTTCTGCAGAAATTCATTCCCTCCCGCGTTTGTTTATGCGAGAGCCAAAGAATTTGTTCTTTAATGGCAAAAAGAAATGCTAATAGGGTTTCATAAGAGCGGATAATTTTTTTTATACAAAGAAAAACGTAGGGGCGACTATAGAAGTTCCGATTCATGGCTCTCGGATCTGGTGGGAAAATTAAAGCCTTATAAACAAGCAATGGAACCACATGGTAACGTTTCTCTGGTTGAAGGTGTTTAGTAATAAGGTTGAAAGGCGCTAAATAACAAAATAGTGACGATATCAAAAGGAGGTGAGACAGGGAAAAATAAATAGTGATTAACTGCTTCATTGTACGATTAACAATAGAACAGTGTAAAAAAAAACAATCATTATTGTGAAAACCAAGTCCATAAAGAAGAAGAAATATAAAAAATCGAAAAGAAGAGAGATCAAAATAAAATGGAGATAAAGAAAAAGGGAAATGGGGGGGGGATGAAAAGAAAATGAAAAAAAAAACAAACAAAAAGAAATGACAAACGTTAAGAAGTAACGCGAATGTAATGAAAGAAATTGAAAGAACTGTAAGCAAAAAAGAAAGAAAGAAAGAAAGAAAGATAGAAAGAAAGAAAGACTGAAAGAAAGAAAGAAAGACTGAAAGAAAGAAAGAAAGAAAGACTGAAAGAAAGAAAGAAATAAGAAAAGAAAGAAATAAGGAAAGATAGAAGGAAAGAAGGATAGAAGGAAAGAAAGAAAGAAAGAAATAAGGAAAGATAGAAGGAAAGAAAGAAAGAAGGAAAGAAAGATAGAAAGAAGGAAAGACTGAATGATAGAAGAAAAGAAAGAAATAAAGAAAGAAATAAGGAAAGACAGAAGGAAAGAAAGAAAGAAAGAAAGAAAAAAGAAAGAAAGACTGAAAGAAAGAAATAAGGAAAGAAAGAAAGAAAGAAAGATAGAAAGAAAGAAGAAAGGAAAGAAAGATAGAAAGAAATAAAGAAATAAGGAAAGATAGAAAGAAAGAAAGAAAGAAAGAAAGAAGGAAAGAAAGAAGGAAAGAAAGAAAGAAAGAAGGAAAGAAAGATAGAAAGAAAGAAATAAGGAAAGATAGAAGGAAAGAAAGATAGAAAGAAAGAAAGAAAGAAAGATAGAAAGAAAGAAAGAAAGAAAGAAAGATAGAAAGAAGGAAAGACTGAAAGATAGAAGAAAAGAAAGAAAGAAATAAAGAAATAAATAAAGAAAGGAAGATAGAAAGAAGGAAAGACTGAAAGATAGAAGAAAAGAAAGAAAGAAATAAAGAAATAAATAAAGAAAGAAAGAAAGAAAGAAAGACTGAAAGAAAGAAGGAAAGAAAGAAGGAAAGAAAGAAGGAAAGAAGGAAAGAAAGAAAGAAAGAAGGAAAGAAATAAGGAAAGAAAGATAGAAAGAAAGAAAGAAAGAAGGAAAGAAAGAAAGAAAGAAAGATAGAAGGAAAGAAAGAAAGATAGAAGGAAATAAAGAAAAAAAGAAATAAAGAAAGAAATAAGGAAAGATAGAAGGAAAAAGAATAAAGAGGGATCCATGAAGGGAATATAATGAGAAAGAAAAAGGGAATATAATGAGAAAGAAAAAAAATCAAAGAAATGAAAGAAATCTAAAATACTCCTAAGAAGAATTAAAAGAACTAAGGAAAAAAAGATATGAATTGGCAAAATAATTCAAGACAATTAATGTTAGAGTGGTGAGGATATGGCTTCATGACTTTTCAAAGGAAATTTGCGCGTAAGCGATTGTAACGAACTCGACTGGAATTCGAACTCTGTCCCGAGATTTATTTCGAGTTGCTATCTATTACACCACTTGCACATCCAAGTGTAAGATGAGAAAAAAAAGCATTAGCATTAAAAAATTACATATTGGAGAATATAAACGAAAGAAAACAAAAATGGAAAAAAAGAAAGAAAGAAAAAAAAAATGGAGTATTAAAATCCCCAAAAGACTTAAAGGAAGTGAGAACAAAAGAAAGAATTGCGCTGTTAATAACTGAAACCTCATTCGCCAAAAAAATCTTTTTTAAAGACATTGAATAATAAATGCTAATCGCTAACAAACTATGATTGATACATATCTGAACTCTGTGTGCCACATCTAAGCCGGGCTTAGAAAATCACCATATGGGTGGTCTTGAATAAGGGTTGGTGGGTGGGGGAATTATCAGGGGATGGTGTTGGAATTCGCTTTCCCCAAATCTAATAAATGATGGGGGATATGGCAAAAGATGTTTTATTCTTTGGATGCTTGTGTAAAAACAGCAAATCTTTTGACAAAATAAATAGGATGGCGTTTGGAATATGAGAGTTGTAGGCCTTGTTTTTTTTTTTTTATTATTAAAATTACTTATTGGTGAAATGGGGTACAATTATGCGTACAAAATAGAATTTTGTCTCGCAAATTTTGCTACCTGTTCACAGGTTCTTCCAATTTTCTTTTACTTACAAGTTGTTTGGCCATGTTTGTCACCTTCATTTGTGTTCGTATCTATCAAGTTCGGATCTCTCTATTTATGCTTTGTTATTATAATGACCCCGTTTGGCAGCGTTTCCTTTTTGGGAATGCATCTGAATCACTAGCAGAGAGAGAGAGAGAGAGAGAGAGAAAGAAGAGGGTAGGAGAGAGAGAAGAAGGAGGGAGAAGGAAAGGAGGGTGTGAGACAAGAGAAAGAGAGAGTGAGAGAAGTACGGGAAGGTTGCAGAAATTGGAAGCGAAAGTTAAAAAGTGAAATGTCAAGGAGAAAAAAGAAATGGTAAGGGTAGGAAAGAGCGAAGGAAAAGTAGAAGGGTTAGGGAGAGGAAAAGAGGAAGACGATAAGTAAGTAAAAGAGAAAAAGGAATGGAAAAAGAGTAAAAATTGCGATAGAAAAAAGTGAAAGAAAAATAAAGAGAATTTTAAAACGATGAGGGAAATGAAGAAAAAGAAGAAAATGTCAGTGAAAAGAAAAATATTATAGAAGGAAATTAGAATAAAGAATAATGGAAAGAGAAGAGAAAGAAGAGATAGAGAAAGAAAAGTTTTAGTAAAGAGGCGGAAAACGATGAAGAAACGAAAAAAAGGAAGAAGTAAAGATTAAGAAACAGGTAAAAGGAAAGAAAAAGAAATAAATGAAAAGAAGGGCAAAAATGAAGGAGAAATAAGAAGGAAAAAGAAGAAAAATAAAAGAAGATTAAAGAGAGGCCTAGAACGAAAATAAAAAACGAAAATAAAAGACGGATATAGTAGGAAGACTGAAAAGGAAGAAGAAAGAGAAAGAAAAAAAGTAGAGACATTATGAAGTTGTATAAAATAAAATATTAAAAAAAGAAAGAGGAAAAGAAGACGAATGCAAATGAGGAGAAAGAAAGAAGGAAAAAAGGAGGAAGAATGAAAAGGATAAGATTATGAATGGATAGACAAAAGCGGAATGGGAAGAAAGACAGAATGAAAGAAAGAAAAAAGGAAAAGAAAGAAAGAGAAAGTTGAAGTTTAAGAAAGTGAAGTGGAATATAAACTGAAATAATTTTTTAAAAAATAAAGAAGCAAATTGAAAGAAAGTAGAAAAAAGAAGGGAACGAATTGAATGCGATAAAAAGAAAAGACAAAAGATTTTAAAACGAGGCAGAAAACGGAGAATGGCAAAAATGAAAGAAAAAGAAGAAAGAAAAACAGAGACGGAGGTGAAAACATTAAGGGGTATGAGTAAAACCAAAGAGAAATAATGGAAACAAAGAAGCAAGAACAGAAAAATAAACAAAAGAATGGAAGATGCATAAGAAGTTCAATGAAAGAAAAGAGGGAGAGAAAGATAGATAGGGTTAGGGTTAGGGTTAGATAGATAGATAGAGAGAGAGAGAGAGAGAGAGAGAGAGAGAGAGAGAGAGGAAATAGGAAAGAAATGCAGGGAAGAAAAGAAGATTAAGCAGGTTTTGGTAATAAAAAAAGAAAGAAGAAAGCAATGACAAAGAGAAAAATTATTTTTTTTTAAATCTTGTAAAGCGACGCCTTGCTCATCAAAAAGTTACTTTTTAATAGCATAAGACGCGACATCCTCCGCTGACGTCACAAAGCCCACTTTGCGTTGTTACGCCTCGCTTCATTCATCCTCATAACTATTGCTATCATCTCTGTCAACAATACTCTCGTCACAACTTTTGGATCTTAATTGCTAACTCTCTCAACAAACATGACAACCATAAAAACGCTGCTATTAAATTTAATAAAGTTATGTCAATCTTACAAACTCATAATTCCGAACTAAGGTTTTTTTTTTATACGGATTATTTTCTAATTTTTTATTCTATTCAAATAAAACAGACAAAAAAGAAAAAAAATTCAACGATGCTGTCTGTGACAAAATACTTGTGGCAAGTATGTTTTCTGACTTGAAAGTTTTGCTTTTTTTTTGTTTATCACTGAATGACAAATACAAAACTTTCCATCTCAGTGAAATGAATTTGACATGCGAGTTACCATCACTCCTATTAATGATGCAACACATTCGTTGTGTTGTTGATAGTTTTCTTCAACTGCCGTAACATGTTTATATTGTTCTGCTGGTTGGAGTTTATTATGTTGTCTTAGAACATGATACCTTATTTGTCTTTTGAGAATTCTTGAATATTTTAAGGAATCCAGAGAAATAACAGTTGCCTGAACATTTGTCAACTGTGGCTTTGTAGTGTCTATAAAATTATCACGCGATTGTAAAATGAAGTCAACCGATTTACATTATTATTATTATTATTATTATTATTATTATTATTATTATTGTTAAGAGAAGAGCGCGATTTAAGAAAAGATAACAGTTAAGAAAATAACAAACACAATGTTTGACAATGTTAAACAATATTTCAACAGAATGTCTGTCTTCTGCAAATTATACTTTAACAATTTTTTCAAGTACGAAAATATATAAATCTACAAAAATGATAAGTCTTTGTACAAACGTTGCTTGTCTAAGATTTATTATTGACTGAATGCAGTAATTGTGGCACAAGGCCGAAAATAAAACGGGGATGAATCAAGGCTGGTCGATAATAACTATACTATACCTAGCTAATCAGTTTCATAACTCATTCATTCGTTACTTTTTACTCATTCACCATAAGAATCAAACCGTCACCATTCACTCCTACATGTACCAAAATACCTCACACACACACAGGTCACTACCCCCCCACCACCACCAAAAAAAACCACGACGTAAAAATTTCAACATGTACAATTGTACACTATTTACATTATTCGGACTATTGTCCTCATCTTTGTCGCCATATTTATTACAACGTTTCAGCCGTTGTACGCTCCGGCCTTCATCAGTTGGTTGGAATGTCGAACTGAACCCTTTATTTCGCTCACTGGGGTAGACTGTTCTAGTTCCACGTGCCATGTCTAAGGGATGTCAGTTGATCACCCTCCTCAAGTTCTCCACCGCCTTAACCCAAAGAGCGGGAGTTCAATACCTGTTTAAGGCGGTGGAGAACTTGGAGAGGGGAATTAACAGGAGATAACTGATAACTGACATCCATTAGACATTATATTTTATTAAATAAATTATTGAAGCTATTTTATTGAGCACATTCTATGCCTACAGACTTATTGTGAAGAAAAATAGCCTAGTCATGATGTAGACTTTTGTTGGGCCTCGGGGGAGATTTGTAGAACATCACACAACTATCAATCATTGCCTTTGTGATTAAGTTCCGTTCAACATAGTATAGAGTGATTTATATATAAAAATGTATATTTTATGCAACAAGTGTGACCATTTGAGACGCACAGATTTTTCAAGCCGTATATAAATCTGATTTACAACTAAATTGCATGATAAGAAAAATATTTTCAGACGCTTTTGATTATTAAGTACAAAGCTTTAAACTGTATAAAGAAAGTAATATTTCGAAACAGTCACTTATATTTATTAAACTAGTCTGGCAGACAGCCATAAGCGGCTTTAGTTGCTGGTTACATAAGTATATCAAAGTAACGTCTTCCTTTTCCAATTCAGCTGTGGGCAAGAAAGTGAACTTCGAATAACTTTTTCGCTATTAGGATGATGGCAGAACAACTGTCGTAATTGACTGTTTTTTCTCACACTTTTTAAATGGTGGCTGTGACGGTTTGGTAACATGTACTTACGGCTGCTGCTAAAATCTTCTCTCCCAGTGTCTCTGTTGCATCTCCCACAGATATCGCCTTTGATGTTTACAGTGATGGGAACACACATGCGCACGGTAGAAAGGGTACACTGAAAATTTTATTGACTATGTACACAAAAAACATATGTTAAAAAAAAAAAAATTAAAATTCTCATATTCCTCTTCTTTATGCGCACAACATAAACACCACTTTAGTCCAATTAAGTGCTAAAGGACGAAACGCGTATATATATATATATATATATATATATATATATATATATATATATATATATATATTTGAAACTCTGAGTAGTGCTTCTTGTGAGGAATATATATATTTTTATATATATATATATAAATATATATATTACACACATTTTTCCTCAAAAAAACACTAGACGGAGTTTCTTCTGCTGCTAAGTTATGACTGACCGTTACACATTTTAAATTTTGTTAAATATATCGGGTTATCGCAATGATGATGCCGTTCATATTTAATTCGGGGATTGTTTTTTTTTTTTTTAGATTTTGTATTTAGAATAAAGGTAGCTAAAAGAAAGTGCGATATTATATATTTTTTTATTTACGTTTATTTTAAATAGAATTTTTTAAAAAAATAACAAGAAATCCGTGTCCCGGAAAACACATGGCCAACTAGCAACTTAACCGAATTCTGATAACCTGCTTCCCCCAAAATATTCTTCTCATATGACCAACGATGAATAAGTCTTTATGTAACCAAAACACATGGTTTTTTGGTCAGCTATGGTCGAGCTTTTGGAAATTATCTGATGTTATACAGCCGAACAAACAAAAACAATCCAATATAAACAAATTATCTCAAATGATATATATATTTTTATTTCTTGCTATCATTTTATTCCCAATTCAATGAATCTAGCGAGACTGTGTACAGCGCTGTATTTAGTTATCTTCAACTTAATATTCGGGTTTGATTTCTTAAGAAACCTTTAACTAATCTAACTTCTCGAAAATAAGTAGGCTTACGACCCCATCACGTTGAAACGACGCTTTCCGCACAGTCACCGAATTTAGCAACGTCGATTCTGGTCAGTACCAAGATGAGTGACCGGTAATAAATACCAGGTGCGGGTGGTATAATGGATAATAGCTCGAAATTGTTGATCGGAGAGCCGAGTTCCAATTCCAGTTGGGGTCATTATATTCACTTGCGCGCAAATACTCTTGGGAAAAGTATGAATCCACTTTTTTTCTCCCGAGTTAATTAGCAAGATACTGTATCACTAAACCATCACTATTTAAAAAAAATAAATCTTAAAATCAAAAATTAAAAAAAAATTTTTTAAATTTAAAAAAATTAAAAAAAATAATCTTAAAATCAAAAATTATTTCCTGGCTTTAAATAAGCTGCAATAAAGGATTTTTTATTTGGTAGAAAAAAAAAACCCCGAAAAAAAGTTCAAACAAATATTTGAGGTAACATTTAATTTATAAAGGCACACAACAAAAACAGACGACACCAGCTGAGTTTAAAAAACAGATGATGAATCTACTGTTCACACACAAAAATGAAAGAATTATATAAATTAAGTGCTTTGTATGTCAAATGATGGTCAGTAACAAATATGTAAAATGAATGCAAATGAATTATGATTTTTACAATAAAAATTACAATGCTTTATAAGGTCTCCAGAAAAGGTAAACAACACTAAAATAAATGAAGAAAGAGGAAAATACTTCTCTGAAAAATTTTCAAAGAGGTACAATTTTCGAAGCTAAATTCGTGGTAGCAGCAAAGAACAGTACAGTCACACCAGCGGAAGAATTTTTCTTTGATGTGGGAGTGGCTTTGATGTTCCTTTCAATTGTCGTCTGGTAGTCGTCAAATTTCTTCTGTTTCGTTTTGTTCCTTGACCGGAAACACCTTCTTTCGGTGGTCACGGCCGACCTACGTTCATGCAGCAACTGTTCGTCTACTCCACGAATGCAATTCCTGGTTTTCCTTTTATTCACCAAGATAGAGTCCAGATTCACTTCTCAGAATTTGGAGGGAAACCTTTTGATTGGTTCCGAATGAAAAACAAACGCAGCTATTTTCCCACAAATCGTAATGTACCAAAAATATTTTTGAAATTCAAAAGTTTAGTTTCTCACAGAAAAGCAGACGATACACACTCAAGCAGCTTAAATTTCTCATAGCAAAGGGTTGATAAGTCGTAGAAAACGAATCAATCAATGAATTATAAATAATTAATTTTCCTAAATGGTTCTTTACCCACATTTAATTCTAATAATCAGTAAACCTAATCGAGCCGTCTATTAAGTTCTACTCCAGGTTTATAATATAAAAGCTGATGATTCTACAATTAAATCTGTAGAATGCTATCAAGACACTTGGAACACCACTGGCCGTATCAGAGTATGAGAACTTACACAACTATGAATCAGTTACCTTTCATTTATTAAGCAATATTTAGTTTGGTCTATCGACCACAACTTCTTTACGCGACTTAGTATTCTGAATCGGTCACTCTTTATTTAGAAAATCTTGCACAAGGTTGCAACATCCTTAGAGAAGGAGGCATTCCACTTGGTCAACTTATATTGACTAATATAGATTCCTCTGTCACAATCCTGTAATCAGTTTACAGAACACAGTGTTCCAAATTGACAACAATTTACTAAGCTTCACTTAGTCTGGCACAAGGCCATAAGCGGCTCGAACTATTTACTTTATTCATTAAGCTAAGCTTAGCCTGGGACAAAATATCACCGCCCTTGGCTTTCCGAGTCATTCACTATTTACTAATCTTCGCTTGTTACGATCAGAAAAAGTTAATCTGGCGTTTCAAATCGATTATCTCT